ACCAACAGCAACAACAACAACTACGACAACAACAAATCACATATAGATTTAAATGTTTGATAATCATTTTTGCAACGACATTTGATTGTTGTACCATAAATTTGGTTGGATGGTTGTTGGTTGGTTGGTTCGTTGGCTGGCTGAATGGCTTGCTGGTATGGTCTGGTGGTCAGATCTGTCGTCGTTAGTTGAGAGAAGAAACGCTCCCACCACCATCAGCAGCACCATATTGTTGTGTTGCCGGATCTGCGTACCTCAGCACCCACTCCCCCAATGTCATAACTTTTGTTGCTACGAATGATGGGAATTACTTAAAGGTGGCCTTCATTCAACCATCCACTGCCATGCATCCAGCCAAATTGCCTGATTCAATTTTTATTTGGTGTCCTCCAACGCAGCGTATCACACAATGAGAACAAAGACAAACTCTTCTGCATTGTATGTTCGTTTTCCAATGGACACTGCAGTGGTGGATCCCATAAGCATATGCACGTGATGGCAAATGATTGTATGTTGTATGTGTTTTGTATGCTTCTAGATGAGATATGTACGTACACATGTCCCGTGTATCCTTTCATGGTCATATAGCCATACATGGTGGCGTTGGTGGTACGTACATACGACGACAACGATGATCCTGCTTATATTCTGCTTATTGGCCACATCGTAAATTTGTAATGTCTTCATATTAAAAATTTGTCATTTAATGTTTTTTATTGCTTTACAATACACGAACACCTACAACATCAACAACAAAAACATGCATAAAATATTTATTTAAAATAATATTAGGGTGGAATGCTGTATTATTTGTAAAAATACGAAAGATATACAGTATGTCAAGAATGAGTTTACACATAGATAATTATTAAATTTACAATCGAGCAGAAAACGAGGAAAGATTGGAGTTACAGCGAAGAGGTGGTCCGAAGCCCAAAATTAATAAGCGTACTGAGCGAAAAATGACAATAAAAATTTGGGGGTGCGTATCTAGCTATGGCGTGGAAGAGTTATCTTTTATAGAAAAGGGATACGAACGCCAAAATCAACTCTTAGATTTTGCCTTTGTGTAAAAAGTCAACTTTTCGATCTTTCGATTTTGTCAAACTTGTTCAAAATCGATTTTTCGACTATTAGCGACTAATGCAAAATCGACTACAAATATGAGTTTTTATATGCATTTTTGTCAACAGATAATATAAAGTTCTGAAAGGTGTAATTTGTCAGATTTTGTGCTAATATTTATGAAGAAAATCAAAAGTCGACTTTGCAATTTCCTCAAAGATCAAAAGTCGACTTCGGCTTTTAGACTTTTCAATAAAAAATCGATTTACCTATCCCTATTATAGATACAACGATGAACGTACAATAATATTTAGACATTAAACACAGATTTGTTAACCAATGCTATGAAAATTGGGTTCATCAGGGACAATCAGCCACATTTTATCAGGGTCATAATGATCCCAAGCTTAAATCATATATAGTGCGAATGTGGCTTCTTTATAACTGTGGCAAACATGTCAGCCCAAAGTCCCGAACTAAAGAACATTTCTATTTTCTATTTTTTTAAAAAAATGGCTAAACGTAAAAAAGAACCAGTGAGCGGAGCAGTATAGTCGGACGGGGCCGACCATACGATACCCTACACAACTACCACGGAAATCGAACTTTCTGCGGATGTTTATTCCAAGCCTGGGCAATATTTCGTGATCTTTGCACCCTCTTGCCCGATTAGAGGTAAACAGCACCTCTTCCTTACACTGACATATTTTCCGAATATTACGAGTATTCAGTACAGCTATTGTCCAGAATCCTTTCACCGTGGGTTGTGTTGTGATGTTCGGCTTTCATTTGTGGTCTATAGATCGACTCGAAAATAACACAAAAAATTAAGTTTTCGGTCCACTTCATTCCAAAATTATTATCTGATCATCACTGAAAATTATAGGCGTTGTCCTTGACCATAACTGGAACCTCATGGAACATTTCAAAGTGATCAGCGCTATAGTTCCGCTCTCTAGAGTGATAATGGGTTACTAAATAATATACGAATACGGAGATAACTTTAAATATTTAGGTGTAGCTCCCACATCCGAACACATACAACAATATAATTGGTATTAGTTTAAAGGTCAACCACTCCTCTTGGATATAATATCAACTTCTCGGGTCTATGTCCTTCAGGGGTAAATATATACGCTATAGAATACACATTTTGTAATTTTTCACACAAAAGCCAGGGTCTATTTGACCAGCTAAATATTGACCGATCTTTATCTTTGGGCCGATCCCCTTCTGCATGCAAAATTTCACGATGTTCGGGCCATTATTGCGGCATCTGGAGCGACCAGAAAAACCGACAAAAATTTAGTATTTGGTCCATTTCATCCCCTAAATATTAACCGATCTTTCCCAACAACAATAGGGGTCTTCATTGGCCAGAACCCATCCTACATGCAAAAATTCGTGAAGATTGGTCCATAACTGTGGCCTGTATCGTGTTTACAAATTATAATGGACGGACGGACACACATGTCTAGATCAACTCACCTAGTCGAGATATGACGATCGGTATACTTAAAGTGTGGTAGATGCCAAGGGCGGCCATACAAAATATTAAAAATATTAAAATGCTATAAAATTAACATTTACATCATGTGAAAAGGGTTAATTGACAATTTTAAAATTGAATATTAATACCCTGCACAACTATATTGTAAGGGTATTATAGCTTTATGTTGCCCCAAACGTTTGTTACTCCGCGAAATCTCGTCTAGCTGAGTCGATACAGGCAACATTTATGGACCAATCTTCATGAAATGTTGCATGTAGGACGGGTTCTGGCCACACTATTTTTGGTAATGGTCGGTTAATATTTTGGGGATGAAATGGACCAAAGCTATATTTTTGGTAGAATTTCTATTCGCTTTAGGCGCCACAATTATTAGCCGAACATCAAAAATTTTCTATGGCGAATGCCCTGCCCAATCAATTCGTATGACGGTCTTGAAACTTTTTTGTGTACATTTTCGGAAATTATGACGTAGAGAGGCTTTTGACCTCTGATCAGTAAAGGGAGTTCAAATATCGCAAAATATTACCCAAGTTCAGAATATGGTTGTTGTGTAGGGTATCGGCCCCGTCCGACTATACTGCTCCGCTCACTGGTTTTTGTTGTTGTTATATTTTTCATGATTTAAAACTCAAATTCAATAGTATACAATTATAAAAAAAAAATCAAAAATATAAAGAAACATTTATGTTTACTTTTACTAAAAAATTAAAAAAAAAAAATGATTTAATCAATGTGTAAACTTATTCTTGACATGCTGTATGTGAAAATTTTCTATCATAAATATTGCGAGCCTATCGTGATTTCAACAGACGGACATGCATAAATCGACATAGAATTTTATTCCGATCAAGAGTATATATAATTTATGTAGTATTCAGTAGGAGGAATACTTCGAGGTGTTCCAAACGTAATTACAAGTTTAATGAAGGGTATAAATATACACTCCACCTGATTATAGAAGATATAAACATGTTTTTTCGTATTAGAAATTTTCAAACGAAGTGACTGTAATTGAGCATTTAAAAAACACATTAACTTAGTCCCGATATGAGTATGTCGATCGATTTTACGTACTTTGAATGTTCACCACTTGGTGGAGGATATAAAAATTTCGACCTGACCGAATTTATTTTTGGAAATAAAAATTTATGGTGGAGCTGCTTGCTTTCTTTAAATCGCACATAATTTAAAATCACTGAAAAGGCTTCGTATGACGTTTATGAAGTAGTCACAGGTTACCAATACTGCATCTACGCCTATGCGCACGAAGGAAAACAATAATTATCCGTCACAGGTTACCAATACTGCAACTACGCCTATGAGCACGAAAGAAAACAGTAATTATCCGGTTGGGTCTTCGAAAAAATGAGGCTTCAGTTCCGCTTGAGCAACGTACCAATTCTGAGTGGTACACCAAAATTCGTCTTATACCTTTCCCCAAACCAGCACCTGTTAGACCGGTAAAATCGTTCAATTAATGGGTCATCTGCCGTACAAACCTGTTTTGGCACCCTATATATTCTTATTATTCCCTTTTTTAACATTTCCCCATATAAAGATACCATCCCACATTACTTTTTTAATTGTTCTAGCCTAATTTTTTACACCCATTACTGGGATAACTAATTTCTTAGCAGAAAATCAAGGGTCCTGTCTCATTTTCGGTATGAAAGTGTTCTATGAATTTTCCAGCAAAGTGCCTGTAAATTTTTATTTCGTGGCAGGGATGTCAATATGTAGATCCATGTTTGAAATGGGGCCTACAAAAGGGTCCCGACCAATTTCAAGTATTTTATTTAGGCATTTTTGGGTTTTAGAAGATACAAATCATAATATTTTAGCGTGGCCCTCATATATCTAAAGGGCTCTCATATATGTTGAAGATCATAGCCGAATTTACAATGTAGGTCTACATTTTAATATAGCTTCCATATAAAGGTGCAGACCGATTTTAGGTATTTTGAAAGCCAACTTCATAATAAAATTATGAAAAGTTCGGTCCGACGTTTTTACTTGTTTTAAAGTAATTTGGTCTATATCTTTGATATTTTTAATACATGACCTATTCAGATAAAATCATTAAGTAAGCATTCGAGTGTACAGCTCTCGAGTTTTTACGATTTTTGTATCAACCCTCAGGATTGCTTTCTATTTTTTTTTTCAAATTTAATGTAAGCCGAACTGGGCGTTGCTACAAATTTTTTTCTCACTACAATTTTTAAGCAGATCTTTTATAATTTTATTTAAAGAAATTATTAAAGAAATTTTTTATTTTATTCTTCTTGCAGATAAACTTACAACATTATCGCCTTGCTTTATAACATAACAAACAAAAACAACTACAACAACAAGAGCAGCAGCAAGAACAAAATACCAACAAGACATTATCCTTTTGGCATCGTTGTCGTCATCGTCTTTGGTTAACAAAATGGTTTTGGTATTGAACGGTGTGCTGCAGGACGATTGTCCGATGGACACAACCAGTCTATTTATGCAACATCCAGTCTATAGAGATTATGCACAGCAATTGTTATCGATACCAACAAAGTCGGTTGGTCCAGTGGGTCTGCTGTACGTAGGTCAACGTGAAATGGCTGCTGCTGCACCGCATGATAAAAATATCAATATAATTGGTACAGATGATGCTACCACCTGTATTATTGTGGTGGTAAGGCATTCAGGTGAGTTGAACACATATACACGCACAGGCACACTCAATAAAGCACAAGGATTACAGTTTCTTAAGGAAACTTTCTATTATTTCCAATCCAGTTTTTCTTTTTATGTCCTAAATTGGCTTCATTTTACTTTGTTTATGTTGTTGATAATAATACTATGAAAAGGATCCGTACCTTTGAGAAAGGCTAAAAATATCCTTGTTTTAATTGAATTTTTTAAGAAATTCTACTTCAATGTGTGTGTGTGGTTAGTGGTTGTTACATTTGATATCATAATTACTGTTATTTTACATGCCGTTTTCTGTTTATTTCTCTTTTAGGTTCAGGTGCTGTAGCATTGGCCCACTTTGATGGCACCGGTGTCGATGAAGCTGTCTGCACTATGGTAGCTCGTGTCCAAGAGCTAGCCTTAGGTTATCCAGAGGGTCGCATTGAATTGCAATTAATTGGTGGCTATCGTGATCCACAGAGTTACGGGGAAGAGGTTTTCTACAATATAATGCGTAAGTTTAAGTTTCAGTCGAAAAAGGGAGACTATTTCTTTAGTAATGAAGTTAAGCAAAATTGTGGGTGAAGCTTAACTATAAGAGATGCCTAAAAGTATGTAATGATTTTTAAAGTCAATTTTTTGAAACACCAATGACCACACACAGGTGTGGATTTTTAAATAAAGTTATGTTAAACAGTCATGAATTTTTATGTAAATATTTTTTAAACACCAAAACGGCCTTACATTCATTCATTTAAAAAAATTTATTTTTTTGAAATATGAAAACGGCGTGGGTACGTCACACGACGACCGGTTCCGACAAATACTACACCATCTCAAATATTACATTTAATACCCCGGTGTGTCTGTCCAGAACCCTCGTCCGCGGCTATATAGAATGCTTCTCTGCCGTTTTTCACAACCCCACAAATTAACTTCGGTGGGATGCAATGGATGTATATATTGTTGCAGTTCCGTTGCTGTTAAGGACACAGCCGAATACAGGACCACTGCGAAATATGAGACACCTCAGCAGTCTCTTCTACAGCAAATATGCAACATTTTTCTGGACAAAATATATTGGATACCCACCCCTAAATCAACGATCACACTGTTTATCACATGAACAGCGGAGATGCGGTCCGCCAACGTTATTGCAAAAAAATGAGGAGACGAAGATCCTTCTTGTGCTTCAACTCAATAAGATTTTGTCTATGCAATATCTGATTGAGGGTTACAGAAGTAGCCATCCAAAATATCACCTTATGTATAGGCACCCACCACCTAGGCATGTCAGGAAGGATCTTAAAGGATCTGGAGAGAGAGGTGTAGAAGTACAAATGAGAGCCTCTAGATCATCGGAGAACATACGCTACTGTACTGCACTGGAGAAAATCTGCTAACACAAATTCATATTGGACACCAATTGATAGCACGATGGACAATATCTGCCAGGCATGTGGTAATGTACAGGTCGCAGCCTTTATGAACCTGGAACGAGAACCAGATTGGAGAGGAAATACACAGCAGTACAAGCAGCATGATACATTTCCAGGACAGTGTGGTCTACGATCCAACACGACCCATACCTCGCCATTATGAAAATCAGTAGAACTGCTACAACAGCAATAGAATTTTAAACTTTATGACTCGAAGAAATATTATGGTCACCGCCATCCAAGAGATGAAACTGATTGGCATTTATAGATTACACCGTTACGATGGATACAACGCGTTACGGAAGAATCGCACTGGAAGTGGTGGTGTGGGACTTGCGTTCTAATTGCCTCATTCTGCCATAGATGGAATGTATAGGGCGAGCTTATGTCCACAATAAGCTTTGGAGTATTAGATAATAACCTGAAGGGTACTTCACTGGCCGAGGAAATTGATAGCTCCACGGTGAATGAGCATGTCACCATCGTGGCACCTGGACTGATAAATAACGTAATACTGCAACCAGTCATTTTCCTCCATAATCGTACCCGTTAATAGACCACCTGATTTCATAACCACTGAATAATGTACTGCCTTATCCTTCATATCCTCGGGTAGATGTGAGAAATTTTCAAAATTTATACATAAATATGTCCGAAGTAGGTTAGGTTAGGCTTGGGGATGTGCAGTCAGAAATGTGGCTGCAGCTCTCTGAGACCGTCAGGTCCATAGTGATCATCCACGAACTTTTTATGCATCCAGACTTTTTCAATTCCGCTGCCTTCCAAATCGCGAAGATTTCAGCTTGGAAAACACTACAGTTGCTATCCAGCTTGTAGGTAAGCTCAAGGCCTTCTTGAATCCGTCTGTATAGAAAGCCAGACCGTCCAGAGGAGGGTTACTCCGGTTCCAGTCGTCGCTACTAGGAATAACGACATCTACATCGTCAAATCTCAGGACTGGTTATATACAGTCGCATAGTTTTACGCTTTGGTCCAATGTCATACCTGATTCGTTCAAGATACAACCAAGCCCAAAGATACAACTCCGCGAAAGATTTTGTTCATGCAGCCTTAGGGCACTTAAGTTCAGCATTGCGTGAGATGCTAATCGTGGCTCCTATTAGAATTGTTATTAGAATTGACTCGCCTCTTTGTATCCGAAGTAAGACGAAACTATCCAACATGGATACTAGCGAATGGACATCATGAGCTTCGTCATGCAACACATGAAGGCTCAAGAGCGAGAAGGGCCATCCGAGCCGAGCAGACGTCCAACCTGCAAAGAATCGCAATTAATGCAACTGAATGAGAGAATTTAACCCCGGTTGTTTCTCTGCCGATATCACTTCTCACACCTGTAGCACAGGCTGCTCCTCCATCTTAGAGATCGAAATGTATGGTGATGACTGTACCATCACGGTGTCGGAACCCATTATATAGCTGATTTTGTACAGTTCTTCAACCTGAGGAATATGAGAATATCCGCCACATATCATCTCCACATGGACAGCGGAAACAAAGATCCCGTTAAACACCCCGGTCGTTGTTGCGCAAATTCCGACCACAAACAAACTAAACAGTTTGGGTATATCGTTCGACAGCTTATTTATGTCGTCTGCGCATTCAGTTCCTATTTAAAGAATGTTTTTTTAAATCTCCAACAGCCTGGCATGCGGGGATTTTATTGAAACCATTTAAACACATTTTCCGAAAACAACAAATTGAAACCATTTAAACACATTTTCCGAAATCAACATTCATGGAATTTTTTCTGAAACATCGGCTGCCTCACAGGAATTGGTTTCTAAAGAATATTGTTTGAAACATCTACATCGACCTAATCCAAATCAATTCTCAGTAACTTTCATGAAACATAAATAACTTATATATTTTATGTCACAGGACGACATTAACAGCTCACGCACGTCATCAGCGTGGCCGTTCTTGAGCGACCCTCGACTTTTAGAGGGCATCGACCACAACTTCTATCTCATCTATCGGTGCCCTTTAATGGACCTTTCTATCAACTATAAGTACAATTTTGGTATTCTAGACCATTTTCTATGAGAGGATCTTTTGGTCTCCTGTAAGGATATCATTTAGCATTTTATAGTTGACCATTCAGGTTTCTATGAGAGGACCATTCGGTCTTCTATGAGAAGGTCTTTTAATTATCTGTAACTAAATTTTAAGGCATTCTATTATCCTTCTATATGAAAACCATTTGATGTTCTATACGAGGGCAGTTCGGAAAGTTCTTAGCCTAGCACAAAAAGCGCCGTATAAACAGAAAAAAGTTAAGTGTTTTCTGCTTTAAACACATGTTAAATTTTTGAACATCTGTTTCTATATGAAGGAGTTGCCCGATCGAAACAAAATTTAAGATGTGTTCAAAACAGATATGGAAGTTTCCAAAATAGTTAACTATTTTCTGCTTATACCGCGCATTTTGTGCTAGGCTAGAACTTTCCGAACTGCCCTTGTAAGAGGATCATTGGGTCTTCTATGGAAAGACAATTTGGTCTTCTATGGGAGGACCATTTGATATACTATGCGGAAATAATCATTTGATCTCAATAATAACCTTTTCTTAATATTTGTTTTTGTTTTCCTATTCCAGAATCATTCCACAAACATCATCTAGAAATCGATTTAACACAAGCCTGCGTTGGTGAATTGAATACAATTTTGCGTGGCGATATCAATTGTCCGATTATTTATGGTGTTGGCGTTAACATCAAAACTGGTGAAATATTCCCAGCCACATTTCCTGAACGGGGACCAGATAGGGAGTTGCGTGATGCTCGTAATTTTATGGGAGCACAAACGGTATGCGAATGACAGTTTTTCCATTTTTACCCCTTAAGTTTTGAAATGAGTTTTTATTTTCTGCTCGCAGGTTCTTGATATATACGATGCCTCATTGGGTCTATTGCGTATTGGCCCCTTCAATTATGATCCCTTAAGGGGTGCCGATTTGTGGCTGGCACAAACTGATGAATTTCTTTTACAACATTTATCCACAAGTCCCGATGTGGAGCCACCACATTTTACACATCATGTAAGTTGGATTATAATTTATTTGTTTTTACAGATTTCTAATTTTGTTATTAATATTTTTTTTTTGTTTCGTATTTCAGATGAGGGCCACCATAAAATTCATACAAGAAAATCAATTTCCTGCTATCACTGTTTTCCGAGACAATCGACCTCGCTATTATAGACGCGATGAGACCACGGGTTGCTGGACACTGGTTAGATATTAATAAAAATGTTTCCTTTTTTATCTATTACATGTTTTCTACTTTTTCGTTGATGTGCTTTCCTTTTATTACTTGAATTATATAGTTTTTTTCCTAAAAACAAATATATATGTATGTATGTTTTGTATGTATACATAGTCGTCCTATATTATCTGCTTATCAATTGTGTTTTTTACAAAGAATTTTGTGTTTTATTTTATTTTTATTAAGTAGAGAGAAGTAATTAAAAGAGAATTCATATTTTTATTAACAAAATGCACGGTGTTACAGAGGAAATTTGGAATCTCATAGAATGGACTAATTCAAAACATGTAACTTATCTATTAATTTTAAATGACGGAATGACCCAATCATACCATCTGTCATTGAGAAACCCCATATGTTCTACAACTTGGTAATGAAAACTTTAACCGGTAATGTCTGTGAAAATAAATTTAAATTTATTTTTTAAGTTTTCCAAAACTGTATTTTTGGCAATTCGCCTTCGGACGGCTCGCAATATGAACGTATTTTAAGGAGTTAATACGCCTACGGGCTTAAAAAACTATAAAATGTCCCTGTGTTAAGTTTTCGCTTAACATGCCACCTGCTTTATCTACCGAACTGGGCGAAATTATAGTTTACCACCGAATACATATTTGAGCGAAAATTGTTTTTAAGAAAATTTCGTCAGCCAGCCAAAAAAAGGATTTACATATATTTTAAGACAGTGTCTACATACGGGTTAAAAAAAAAACTATAAAATGTCCCTGTGTTAAGTTTTCACTTAACATGCCACCTGCTTTATCTACCGAACTGGGCGAAATTATAGTTTACCACCGAATACATATTTGAGCGAAAATTGTTTTTAAGAAAATTTCGTCAGCCAGCCAAAAAAAAGGATTTACATATATTTTAAGACAGTGTCTACATACGGGTGCATGGTCCTATACCTTATATTTTAAATAGAAAGTAAACTAGTTGGAGGAAGAGTTAAATAATAAAAAACGTTCTGCTGGAAAAATTGCTAAGACCACACTGTAGGACAACGGCGAGGACTACAACTCTTTAGTATGCATTTTCAGAAAATATATTGAAAATGCAACTAAACCAAAATTTTCGAGAAACTGTAACCTATTTCTAATTATCGCAGTGGCCTGACTTTAATTTCATATTAAGGGAAAATAGGTTAGGACCCACTGTAGGAAACGGTTAGGACTACAACATCCATATAAGAGGGAGTATATATTAAATTTGTCTTTTCGTTTGTAAAACCTCAAAATATTTATCCAAAACTCTGTAAAAAATATTCTTGGTAAAATTTTAAATTTAAATTTGTGAATCTGTCTGTTGAAATCACAATATTTAAGATAGGGTGTTTGGTATTGAAAGTTTTTATAACAATACCGACTAGAATTTGACATAGATCCCATTTAAAGTATTTCGAATGTCCTTGCCGGTTTTTCCTACCTCCTGCCAAAAATTGTCAATTTAGGTCCATGTTTTCACATAAACCATAATTTGAGGATACACCTATAAGTGGATGGTATATAAAGATCGGCCTAGACAATATTTATTATCAAATGTGGTTTCATTGTTCGTTTCGTTTTCCTTCGTTCAAATCAATTGTCCCCTTCGAAAGAGACAGCTTCAAAACAAAACAGAATTTTCTGGCGACGAAAATCGTTGACCACGTACGCCTTTACCTGACGGTATGTCACAGAACGACAGTAACAGTTGAAGCACGTCATTAGCGTTCGCCACAGTGGCTGTGTTTTTGAGCGACCCTCGACTTTTAGAAAGCATCGGCCAGACCCGTCTATCTGATCTACAAGATGACTTTGATGCTCTTTTCTGAGACCTTTCTCTTAATTATATGTAAAATGTTGGTCTTCTAGACCATTTGGCTTCTACGAGCGGATCATTCGGTCATCTATGAAAGGTCTTTAGGTCTTCTGAAAGCAGACCATTTAGCATTTTATATAATAACCGTTCGGGTTTTTTTAGAGCACCGTTATGTCTTCTATGAGAAGGCGTTTTGATTTTTTGTAAGAAAATTTTAATTTCTGTATTAGGCCATTTAGCCTATATGAAAATAATTTGGTCTTCTACAAACGTAGATGTTCTATAAGTAGATCATTTGGTCTTCCATAGGAGGACAATTTGGTCTGCTATGAGAAGACTATTTGATCTACTATGAGGAAACCATTTGATATTCTTTGAAAAGATCTTTTGGTGATCTATAAGAAAACCCTTTGTGATTGCTATAAAAAAATACATTTGGTTTTCCAAAAAAAAATCCTTTTCATATTTCATTCAAATTCACACATTATTCACCGTCCGATTTTATTTAATTGGTGCAGCAAACTATTGTGAAATTGGTTTTAAGTAACCTCTACTCGGCTAGTTCACTTTTCTAGTTTCGGCAAGGGTATTATTATTGGTATCGCTTATGTCCTGTATTATGTGGGCTACTTTTATAGGTTTTTAATTCCCCTGAGTTGCCGACAGCCTTAAAGAGCGCACCTCTTGGCATCCGGTATATGAGCATTAGACGGTCTGCAGGTATTTGTTAGCCGGGCAATTTAGCAATTTGGTATTTTCTTGGAGGGAATGTACACCTTTTCTGATCGTATCTGATCGTCGCCAGGCTCAATCCATTTTCTCCACTGTGGCAATGATAGAGATGTGATCCGACGCAAAAGAAAATTTAAAGGCCTATAAGCAGGCCATTAAGCCTTCTATATGAAAATAATCTGGTCTTCTGCAAGTTTTCTCCACTGTTTGATATTCATTGAAACGGTCTTTTGGTGTTCTATAAGAAAACCCTTTGTGACTCCTATAAAAAAAAACATTTGGTTTTCTATAAAAAATGCTTTGGCATATTGTATTCAAATTCATACATTATTCGCCGTTGATAAGACTTTTGAAAAACCATAATAATTAGAGTATGATCCACCAAGGCCTGTCATCAATTCTTGAAAAATTGTCAATCTTATAGTCGCAAAATAAAAATCGCAATGACATCATTTACACACCACGTTCTATAGCAGTTCCTAACCTACTAGTTGTCTGCATTTGGAATTCCCAGTCCATATTCTTATGCTGTTACACCGTAATATTAATTTGTTTTTTCAAGCCTAATATTGATGTTAATCATTTACATTATATAACTAGTTAAATTTTAAATACAAATGTAGCACGGTCACAATATCAGTTGATGTTTGGCTATGTTATCGTTAAACAGAATTTTGAATACTATCTTCATAACCACTTTGTTTCTTAAATGTTATTTTATGTGTTGTTTTTATTGTTTTATTTTCTGTTCCATACAATTTTCTATTTAAAATTAATATTCAATGTTAATGTTGTCTTGTAATCTCGTAAATACTTTTGCTTTTACTCCCCTTTAATTTGTAAATAAAATATTATTTTGGTTTTGAAATGTAGTCCCTCTCTCTTTATATTATTATATTAAAATAAAAAGAAATCGGAATAACATATATATTTTATTCTTCTTCTTCTTTTTTCTTTGTCTATTTTAAGATTTTAGATTGAAAATTTCTTATAAAGAAATTTATAAAATGTTTTTTAGAATATAAAAACTCTATGTTTTTTTGGTATGCGCCTTATAAAAAAGAAAGTAAAACTAAAAATGGATTTAAGTGAAAAAAAAAAACACACACAAACTCTCTTTATTATTACAATTGTTTAATTTAATTGAAATTATTTAGTAAAATGTATAAGAATTTAATAACATTGTACTCTAAATATAAATTAAAAAAAAACAAATGATGGCAAAACATTTATATACCACAATAAAAATGATTTACTATTAAATAAAAATATCAAAACAATAACGAAAATTTAATTTGGTGTTTTATTTTCTTGTGAGATTTTCTCTCAACAAACAATCCTTGTTGCATTCAAAGTGTTGTAGTAATCAATTAAAATAATTAATATTAATAATACGCGTTCTTCCAAACTTTTAGGATACAAAAAGTTAATTTTAATAAATACTAGCTTTGTTTGGATTCTAAAACAGAATTTTTATTAAAAACCACGTTGTGTTAATTTTCTAGAATTGAAAAAAGATAATTTTAAATAAATCCACGATTTGTTTAGATCCAACATTTTGCTGAATGATTTTTTGGTGCTGACATGTTGGAACAGTTTGCCAGTTTCGTAAGTACTCCAATGATGTTGAATATCGGTTGGATGATTATGGATGTAGATTGAGCTGGACAAGCAAGTATATGAACAGTATAATATGGACCCTGCTTGCATTGGGAACATATGTATTCAATAACTACAATTCTTCAGTTTGTAAAATATCTCTCGATGTGCTTCGATCGATCTTTTATAAACAAAAGGTCTTCTATAGATTCAATACTATCAAGAGGTCTTCTATAAATAGAAAATTCTCGGTTTTGGATCATTGAGCTCTCCCACAAAGGTATTAAATTTACCGATCATTTATTTTTTAGAAGACTTTCTGAGGGTGTTCTGATTGTACCCAAAAATTTATAGAAAACATGGAGTGGATATTATATCTAAAAAAAACATTTTGATGGGTTAGTTTCGGTTAAAGGATGTTCTTTGATTTTGTGAGACTATAACCATGTGAAAAAGTCATCCAATCCAAATCGGGGTTTAAGAAGTGTTGATTGTTTTTCCTTTGACTATCTTCCTGTTATACATTGTTGGTCGTATTGAAACCAAGTTCTAGCCCCACAAAAAAAGGTTCGAAAATGTATGTTTACACCCTACACAACTATGTTGTCAGGGTATTATAGCTTTGTGCAGCCCCAAAAGTTTGTAATGCGGCGAAATATTGGTCCTAGACCCACCTTTAGGTATAACGATCGTCATATCTCGACTAGCTGAGTCAATCTAGACGTGTGTGTTATATATATGACGTGTCCATTATAATTTGTAAACACGATACAGGCCACAGTTATTGACCAATCTTCACGAAATTTTGTATGTAGAACGGGTTCTGGCCAATGAAGACCCCTTTTGGTTTGGTAAATATCGGTTAATATTTAGGGGGCGAAATGGATCAAATACTTAATTTTTATCGGTTTTTCTGGCCACTCCAGAGGCCGCAATTATGTCCCAAACATCGCGAATTTTTACATGGAGAAGGGGATCGGCATGCATATTTTGATAAAGATCGGTCAATAATTAGCGGGTCAAATGGACCCTGACTTTTGTGTCCTGAAGGACACAAACCCGAGAACTTGATAGTATATCCAAGGGTAGTGGTTGACCTTTAAATTGATACCAATTATAATATATATAATATTCAGATATTATTTGGTAACCGATTACCACACTGGAGGGCGGAAATATAGCGCTGATCGCTTTGAAATTGTCCCTAAAGTTTCAGTTATTGTCAAGGACAACGTCTATAATTTTCGGTCATGATCAGACAATAATTTTGGGATGAAATGAATCGAAAACTTAATTTGTTGTGTTTTTTTTTCGAGTCGGTCTATAGGCCACAATTATAAGCCGAACATCACAACACAATTCAAGGTGAAGGGAATATGAATAAGTAATTAATTAGAAGGACTATACAGAATATTAGTAATATTCGGAAAATATGTCAGTGTAAGAACCTCTAATCGGGCAAGAGGGTGCAACTATCACGAAATATGGCCCAGACTAAAAATAAAAATCCGCAGAAAGTTCCGTGGTAGTTGTGTAGGGTATCATAGGGTCGTGTGTAGGGTACCCCGTACGACGATACTGCTTCGCTCACTGATTTTTTTATACCATTCACAACACTGTGGTACAGAGTATTATGAAATTTGGCACAACTCAATTATTTTGCCCAAGTACGAACCGTATTGAAATTGGAGAAAATCGGTTACTGCTCCCATATGCAGTTTCGTTCGTAAGTCCAGTGAGATTTCTGCGATGTTTTGTTGAAATCGGTTCAGATTTAGATATAGCTCCCATATGCAGTTTCGTCCGATTTTATGTAAATGGTGCACAAATCTCCCAAGGCTTTCTCGATTGAGACAAAATTTCGCAAAGCGAACTAAATACAGTCCAGTTTGACGTCTGTGAAGTTTTGTTGAAATCGGTTCAGATTTACATATAGCTCCATATATAGTTTCGTCCGATTTTAGGTAAATGGTTCACCAAACTCGCAATATTTGTCCGAAAATTTTGCATAGCGAACTAAATTCAGTCCAGTTTGACATTGGTTCTAAGAACCTCTCCTCGGCTAGTTGATTTTTCTGGTTTTGGTAATGGGATTGTAATTGGTATCGCATATTTCCTGTGTTGTGTGGGCTACTTTTATAGGTTTTAAATTCCTCTGAGTTGCTGACAGCCTTAAAGATCGTACCTCTTGACACACGGTATATGAGCATTAGATTTTACATACACATATTTTTTAAATTTCTAAACATAATATTTTTTAATTTTCTAATAATAATTGTTAAACAAAAATATCCTTTACAAAGAATATAACTAATTAATAGCCTCCAGCTATAATTCACATTTATTAAAACGATTAAAATCTGGATGCCACCATGGCAGTACTTTATACTTTTGTATTTGCGGATATTTCCAGCTAAGTTTTTGATCTTTTGTCAACGAGACAAACTCCAATTCTAAATTTGTTGATCTCATGTCGGTCGATAAAAATTCTCTTGTATTCTGTAGACGGATTGTGGATGAAGAATTTGTACAAAGGAAATCGGAGGGGAAGGGTACATAATGATTACAGCATATAATCAAGAGACTTAAACCATTACAACTAGCTGCAGGAGAGTGACTAGTTGTAGTATTATTATTATTGCTTTCATCATCGGCCAATGATTCCCAATCATTGACAATTTCATGAACATTTTGTCGATCATTGTTGGTCGATTCTTCTTTGAAATGTTTTGAATTCTTTTGTATGGTGTTATTATCACAAAACTTATACACCATGATCCAGACACATTGTACCGTAAGATGCCACGAAGATTGATAGATTTTACCCACCAATGAGTCTAATTTATAATTCTCTTTGAGGCGATCAACAAATGGTTGATGGCAGTAGAAGAGTGCTTTAATAACTTGTTGCCTTAATATTTCAGTGTCACATTCAGCCAGCTGATGCATTTGCAAATCGGATGGTAAGTCTAATATCCATTTACTTTTATCTTTGGATTTTTGACAATATTTCTGATACAACTGCATCCAAAAGTTTCGAGTTTTCAGGCAATCGGCACTCGGTTTGCAAATCAGTGCGAATCTTTGTACATCTTCCGGTGGAATATGATTGGCCAGATGAAACCATATATCATTACTGATATAGGAGTATGTTGGTGTTGTTATCACGGTGTCATTCATCATCTCAGTCAAAACTTCTTCAGCTGCTCCTAAACATTTGCCTCGCCTTTTCTTCGGCTTGAGTTCCAAGAAATCGGATCGTAATATGGTTTCTGAAAGGCAATATAGTAATGAAGGATATATGACGCAAATAAGATAATTACACCTTCCAGAAACTATGATGATTAGAACACTTACGACATTTGCCTTTGTTGGTCCTTAAATAATGTTGAAGTTGCTCCTCATCTGAATCCATGTCAAGGAAGTGAAGACAAGTAAGTAAGTAAATTTATTGAGACTCTTCTTCTTTTCGATAACATAGTTTCATGTACAGATAATGATTAGACCAAGGTAGATATACAAGGTAGCCGCAACAACAAACATCGGTTGTTGTATTTTGATATGTCAAAAATATTTTGCCAAAACAAACAGATTGACAAGATTTTTTACACAAATTCTTGTAGAAAATGTTAATAAAAGTATTGCCATACAAGCTCTTCGAAATTCGGAGTTTTTTTAAGTTTTTGGTTCAACATTACAACAACATTTTTGACATTTATTTGTCCAACAGCTGGGCCGATGCGGCTACCTTATTAAATATACCTTGGATTAGACTAGTTAGAACTATATACGTCTTATTCTAACCCATTGAAGGAGATATGCAACATTGCAAACGATAATTACGTATGATAAGTGTGAAAACATGCTGTAAGAAAGAGAAAAGGCTTGCTCCCGGCCTATACATTAGCGGACAGCGCAATTGACGTCTGCCAAATATAAACAGACTTAAAAACAAAATAACAAAAACAAAATAGATGTCTGTTTAGGCAATGACAAACAGAGCGCTTACAAATGTAAACAAAAGAATACTTTAAAATAAAGTTAAAGAATTATTAAAAATAAATTAAATATATAAATATCACAGTAAGAATTACACAAATTAATCGAATGCTTATATTAAGCTAATAGTAAATATCACAGGTAAGTTCATTGGAATTATGTATCACTTATTAAAATTAAAGTCGAAGTATTATTTGCAGGAAAATACAAGTCAATTAATTGCTCAACCCCGATGTGTTCCAGGAGTTGATTTTATGTAAAACTGATGTGACAATCTATCAGGGTCAGTGTCAAGACGTTCGTTGAGGATATCAATAGGCGAGAGGTAAGACGTATTATTCCATGAGAAATGTTTTTCTGATTCATGAATATCTTGCATTAAGCCATTTACATGCGTGGGAAGTTTGTCAACAAAATGTCTTTGAAGCTCAAGTGCATAAAGGCCGAACGGTTGCACTTCGGATAAGTCGTAGATGTAGTTGTTAGGGTGCATTTTTGTTGGGTTCTCGTACTTTTTACCAACACACCTCCTCAATATTGTCCTCTCAAAGATTTCTATTTCTTTCAAAATCGTTGGAGAAATGGAAAACCATATTGGGAACCCGTATACGAGGACAGATCCAATTGCCACTTTGTAGAGAAGGAGTTTGGTTTTTTGTGCCAAATATTTGCTGTTGAACAAGTATGAGAATAAACCAGCATACTGTTTTGCCTTCCGCAATGTATTTCGCCCGTGCAAATTGAATTTGTGAAGCTTGTCAAAGGTGATCCCAAGGTATTTTATGCTGGTTTTGAAAGGGATTTCAATTCCGCCCAACATAATTCGAAGGTTTTTACTCTGTGGTACCACCATTCTTGGACATTTCCCTGATGCGTTTCTTATGCAAATGGCTTCAGATTTGGCAGCATTAATCTTTATTCCCCATTTTGAGTAATATTGGTTTATATGATTTAAATGATCAAACGCATATTTTAGAGCTTGTTCTGGAGAGACATCATGTGCATAAATTAAACAATCATCGGCATAGAGGATAGCTTTTGACTGATTTCTTAAATGGGGGAAATCGTTGAGAAAAATGTTGAACAGGAATGGTGCCAATACGCTTCCTTGTGGAACACCACTGTTAATCAATCCGTACCTTGACTTTTCATCGTAGATTTGGACAAAAAATTTCCGCTCAGTAAGGTAATTATCTATAATCCTGACCAGGAATGGGACAATACCCAAATCAATCAGCTTATAAATAATTCCTTTGTGCCAGACAGAATCAAACGCCTTCTCAATATCTAATGATATGGCTACTGTACAAAATTGATTTCTCAAGTTTGCCGTGATGTCACTATGAAACTTGAGAAGCGCATGTTGTGTTGAATGTTGCTTTTGAAATCCAAATTGAAAATCCGATATAGGGTTGATAATAAATTCGTTTTCTATTTTCTCTTTTATAATATGCTCGAAAATTTTGCACACATATGACAGATTGGACGAAAATCGGTGACTGCGTCACTATTCAATTTCTTCTTAATTGGAATTATTTTTGCTACTTTCCATGCCTGAGGAAAATAACCGTTGTTGATGGAGTTATTAAAGAGGTTGCTTAAAAAGTTTAAGGCTGCATCTGGAAACCTGCGTAATATGAAATTTGAGATCCCATCGATGCCGCAAGATTTTTTGGCGTTTATTTTCAAAATAATAGATTTGATGTTTTGTGACGTAGTGAAATGATAGTCATCAGGATTGATAGTAGAATTGTGTTGATTGTTAAAAGAGTAAATGTGTGAAGGTATTGATAAGGAAAATGACGCAATTCGTGTATGAATATCATCAACTGGAAAATTGGGAACAGATTCTTGAAAAACGGACGAATAATACTGGTGAAAGTGGTTGGCTATCTCTGACGGATTAGTTACACTGTTATCATTAACGACAATATGTTGGCAGAATGGAGATTTTTTACTGCCGCTGAAACGACGAATTTCCTTAAAAGCGGACGGACCAGGTTTGATGTTTTGCAGGCGGGAGTTGAACAGTTTTGCTTGCTCGATTTGTATAGACTCTTTTATAATAATCTTTAAAAGACTTATTTGTTTTGATTTCCAGTTCGATGAAAGATTTTTTTAAGTTAAGTTTGATCTTTCAGAAAGAGGAAACTTTCCATCACTGACCGCTATCCTCTGTGAGTGAGCTTCATGAACGGCATTATAACATCGGTTAAAATCCTGAATCGAAGTATCAATTTCATGATTTTCCAAATTTTTATCTGTTGGGGGCATACAATCCAGTAACGCAGCTTCCAAATCTGACCGAAAATGATCCCAGTTTGTATTTTTATATGTAATGAACGTTTTCGGTGTATTTAATATAATTTCCAAACAGTCTAGTTTCAGGTTTAACTTCAGAGGAAAATGATCCGAAAATGTTGGCAATGATGAAATGCTGAAGTTTGTGGAATTACTGTCAACTAAGCCTGTACTGATTAGGAAATGATCTAAGTATGATGGACCATTTGGGTAAGATGGAGATGTATCACAAATGCGTTTAACATCTAATACATTCGATTGCAGCCAAGCCTTTAAAGCTTTTCCATTTGTATTCTCCACAGGATCTCCCCAGGAAGGACTCCTTGAATTTAGATCTCCACCAAGGATAAAGCCATTGAAGCTAGAGCAAAGTTGCAAAATTTTTTCCAGATCTGACTCCAATTGTAATGGTGGATAATTACATGGGATGTATTCAGAACCCAGTACATACTTTTTCTGCGTTCCGTTATGTGTTGCGTCTAAAGTGATCAGGCATGTATTAATATCCACATCAACCTGGATTCTGGTGTAATGAATATTCTTTTTTATGAATATAGCAACTCCAATAGATGATTGATCATGAATAGCATTGTACCCGTCTATTCTTACCCTTCTGTTTCTCCTCAGGTGACATTCTTGGATGAAACCAACATCAATGTTATTATAAGCCAGTGTTCTTTGTAGATCAACTTGCCTGCTTTTATCGTTAAGTGATCTGACATTGAATGTTAATAAGTTTATAACTCTATGGACCATATTGTTGACGTACTTTATTCAGAATTCTTAGGAATTCTGCTTTGGCTTTAGGTTTTTCCATGTCTTTAAAGTTATTTAGAAACATAGAGATTTCTTCTTCAAGTGACATTTCTTCTGGTTCCAAAAAATAATTTGCAAGTTTTAGAAAGTCATCAACAATGGATGGCTTTTGTTGAGTGTTTTTCTTAAAAAAGCTGGAAAATAATTTGGTTGGGGTTACGGTAGGATAGTTAATGGCGTTGCTAACGTTTTTCATGGCAATATTTTTATCCTCACGATTTATTTCTATGTTTTTTTGTTTACCTGCATGATATTTTTTAAATGAAGGACATCCTTTCCAGTTTGCTGGATGACCAAATGCTTTGCAGTTTACACAATATGGCTATGAAGTATCCGTGCGCGATCTTTGACACTCTCCTGGCCCGTGAACTTTATCACACTTCATACAATTATATTTTGCATTACAATTGCGTGCAACGTGACCACACCTCTGACATCTATGACAGTGGATATCACCTGATTTATTCTTTGGTTTTTCCCAGTAGATATCCTGGAGAAACAATGATTTTACATGTGCGATATCACCAATATTTTTGCCTGGCATTAATGACACTAAAAATAAGCCTGTGTCTATGCCATTTTAATTGACTTAGGCGTTGAAAATTTGGTTACCGAAGCCACTATATTGGGAACCACAATGTCTAATTCGGCCTTGACCTCCTTGGGATCGTTATATGAATAAAGTCCTCTTAAGACTAAACCGACTTGCTTCATTTCCTTTGGAGTGAAAGAGTAAGAGTGGATCTCCTTAGCTCTCAAGATCGCCATCATTTTTAAATTTTGCTCTTATTTTTATTTATATTTTTGATTTTGAACTCTGAATCCTTGATAGTGGTTCTCAAAGATTCTACTAGGGCTTTGATGTTTACATTAAAAACAAAAATGGGTGGACACCATTTTGTTTTATTGTTCGATGTGGTATTCTTGTTTTTATTGTTAGCACCTTCAGTTTCTTTCATCATTGGAGAACATTGAATATCAACATCTGACAATACACTTAGTATTCCAAATTTGTTTTGATCATTTGGATCATGATTCACCAGCTTTTCTCGAAGCTCTGATATATCAATGTTCAGGGATGAATTTGATTTCTCAATTCGCATTCTTTTACGTTCATTCGTTTTTTTCTGTTGCTTTTGATATTGAAGCAACAAGTGGTTGACTATTGGAAGTTGATGCCACATCAAAATCCATGTCCGGTAAGTTATCAGGCATCATTATGCACACAAATGCAAATATGACGCCTGAAAAAGTTTAATTTCCAAAAAATAAGGATTTGTTTTTTTAAAAAATTCTTTGCTTCTCAGAAATATACGTCTAACCAGTTTCAGAGTTGCCGCCTTTTTCAAGTGAAGACAATAAGAAGGATAAAAGTTGGGAATCAAAACAAAATAGCCAAAATATTTTGACTTAAATTTGGCAAACACTGAGAGCTGATAGCTATTTCCAGACAACGAACATGGCTCAGTAAAAAGGTCGTCCGATAAGGCCATATGATTTCGCTCGAGCTGTCAAAATGCTTTCGAATTTGACTTAATCGTTTGAAAACGTAAACAAAAAATTGACAGATTGGGACATGATTACAACGATATAAATCATTTTTTGGGATTTTAAAATTCACTACAGAAATATGGGTATCATATTAATACTTTTGAATTTCTGATTAGGTTAGTTTTGGGGATGTGCAGTCACTTATGTGGCTGCAGCACTCTGAGACCGTCAGGTCCATTGTGATCATCCACAAAAAGAAAAAGAAATGGAGAAATCTATGGGAGAGAAGGGGGTAGAGAGAGATATATATAAGAAGCTTACAAGGAATTGTGAGAAGGTAAGTATGAGATAGTATCGATGGCTATAGAGATCGGACAGAAGATATATTACGTGCCAAGGTTGCACATTCCCAACCATTTTAGGTTTCTAATTTTGCTGTAGATTAGAACAGGTTCCGTTGTTGAACCACTAGTCTGTGTCGTCTGTAAGCCAGGCCTGGGCAGCGACACAGGAGATACTCAATTGTCTCCGTCTCCTCCTCTTCAACGCAGAGTATACAGTAATAAGTAGCATCATGGTCCCATTTACTGGTAAAACGGCATGTACACTAGAACTTTTTCACCGGGTTAACCTACTTTATGAGGATTTATTTGACATATATGCAAAGGAACTCCCATTTACTGGTAAAGGCCTATTTACTGGTAAAGGCCAGTAATGATTCCTGTCAATACGCTTATTTCAGCTTTGCTCAGGTTCAAAAGTGAGTGTGTCCTTTTGGTAAACAGAATCGGCCAAATAGATCTCGACACATTGCACCTAGGTTCTTTGTGCCACAGTTCATAGGTTCTTTCGTCGAACGAACGTCTCAAAGTTCCGATAAAGTGACATATGGTTGGCTTGATTGAGCCATCAATTGCTAGATCTGTAGGTTGAGATCCTCGTCTAGCTAATTCGTCTGCTCTTTCATTACCCATGATGTCACGGTGTCCTGGTACCCAACACAGCCGATAGCTGTATGTAAGTTCTTCCAAAGCTGTTCTACACTTGAGGATGGCCTCACATTTGATGTAACAGGATTTTATGGCTTTAAGAGCGGGTACAACGATCTATGCATCCAATCTTTTTATCTATTCCGCTGCCTTCCAAATCGCGAAGATTTCAGCTTGGAAAACAATACACTTGATATCCAGCTTGTAGGTTAACGCAAGGCCTACCCTTTCACACTAGAATGATCCGTCTGTATAGAAAGCCAGACCATTCAGAGGAGAGTTACACCCATATTGATTCTGTGAATTTCAAAGAACCACGAGAAACGGCCCGAGTGGATCTTTGGAGGACCATATCTCCGAAAATACGGATTTCCGCAAGAAAAAGACTGCATATGGTAACAATTTCAAAACGATCTACGACAATGCCTTAAACTAGTGCACCCCGGTGCACCCAAGCAATTTTAAATATATATCAATTTATTTAAATATTTTTCAATTCTTATTAAAATCAGATATTTAATATTAACCCACTGTATTTACTGTTATCATTCCTTAATGCATATTTAACCTTCGTGTTATCATTCATTTGTACATACACTACATGTTAGTAAGAAGAAGACCTACAATATTTTTGTTTGCGTGGACATCGACACCTGGAAAAAATGAATGTAAGTATTTTTGGAAAAATTCCTATAAATTTTAAATAATTCACCATTTCATACCACCATCATGCAGGAAGCTGATATTCCCATTGATATTCATACGCTCAAGTTACAAGATTGGCTTGTAAGTCGGCGTATTGTGCCCAAAAACATACAGGCCAGCTTGAAAGATATTCGCTCCAAGATAACTGCTGCCCTACAAGATATGCCATCCCACGAAAAGCTTATCGAGCTGCTGAAGGGTACAAGTAAGTAATCAGTTGGGATGTTGTGAGCTCGATAAAATCATGTCATATCCTCCTTTTCAGATATCAACTACTTCCATTGCAAAGAAATCATTGAGATTTTAAAGCAAACCGAAAAAGACACCAAGGGTCTCTTTGGCAGCTATGGCAGTCAGCGTATGAAGGATTGGCAGGAAATTGTACGACTATATGAAAAGGACAATGTTTACTTGGCCGAAAGTGCCCAGCTCTATGTGCGTAATATCAATTATGAAATACCCAATGTGAAAAAGCAAATGACCAAATTGGAACAACAAAGCGACGAATGTTTGAAACGTAGCAATGATTTGAATAAACCAGAAGCACAGCTGTTGGCCGAACATGCTGCTTTGTTGCAACAAATTGGTGTAAAGGGGGATAATCTACGTGAAGAATTCACCCAGGTGCTGTCGGGTTTGCCTGAAATGTATGCCAAAAGTATTGCCAAAATCGGCACTTTGGATGAGGCATTGAATTTGTATGCCACGACAACGGGCCAAACCAAACAACAATGTTTACCCATAACCCGACATTTAATTGATTTCGGTAATACAACAGTCTACCAATATATTCACAAGGAGGCTCCGCTGTCGGTTGAAGAACCACCAATTAAGCTGAATTTGAGCGAAGAGAATGAAATGAAAAACAATGACAATGAAATCGATTTTGGTGATGACAATGGTGGTGCTTCGTCCACGATTTCTGGCGAAATGATTGATTTTGGTGAATTGAATTTAGAAAGTGGCGGTGATGGTGGCATCGATTTTGGTGATGCCGGAGAAACTGGTGACATTGATTGGGGCATTGAAAGTGCACCCACCGAAAATGTAGAAATCAATTTCGATATACCCATCGAGGAGTATGGCATTGTTGTAGAAGGAGCTGGCATGGATGGTGGTGTGGCCAAAGGTGATCAAGCCTATACACTGCTCGACTCTCCCTCATACCGTGAACGTTTCATTGATGAGTTATACGAACTTGAAGCATTCCTGCGTATGCGTTGCTATGAATTGCGTCAAGTTAATGCAAGCAGTAATATTATGTTTTCTCTCATGGAATCAATTTCTACTCATGATGAAGAATCGTTACGCAAAATGTTAGCCAATCTTGATGTTTTACTCAACGAGATGAGTAGTGAACAAACTCGTCATCTTTTCCAATTGAAACATTCACCCAAATATGCCGATCTCTTAGCATCAAAATTGAAACAAATGCTTAAAGCTGTTGAGAAAATACGTACAACCAAACAGGTGTTGAAAGATCGTTCGGTTGAACTTAAAGAACAACGCGTGTCGTTGACACCGGTGCTGGAAAAATTGATCGATCAAACGAAAGATCTACAAGGCAAAATCGAACAGGATATATCGAAACGTTATAAGAATCGTATTGTTAATTTGCTGGGTGGTGTTTAGAAAAATTAAAGCAAATAATGTGTATTTTATTGTTACATTTGTAATGTATATCATTTGCAATATAGGTATATCGCATGGTTTTCTTTTTGTTATGGTAAATTCAATTGGCTGGAAGTGAAATGTATTGTATGCATTTAGATTTGATTTTTAAATAATAAATATTTTTGTTAAGAACAATAAAATAAATAAAATTTATTCTATAATAGAACACTTTCTATAGGACCTGTTTTCGTTTAGGTAAGATTGTAATATGGGGCTATGTAATCGCCACGAATCCAATCGCTCCTTAAGAGAAGTATGGAAACATACAACTTCTTAATATATAAAAGAGCTTATTGATAAGGTAGTTAGTTTGTGCCTGACAAATCATCGCGCAGACGAAATAGCTGAAGCTAGAAGAGATAAGGCTCGGTTTTTGGAATGTACTAAATGTGTTACCATTTGTATTAGGCAAACGGAATGAGCTAGAATTCTGAAATTTAGAATGTGGGTCACTGATGGAATGTTAGAAAGATGTACAAAAGGATTTTTGGAAACTCGTCCAATAAGTTTACGAAAAGTACTAAAATTTACTAAATTTTGTTCTAATTGTAAATACATTGAACATGTATAGCTAGAATCTTGAAATTTTATATGAAATACATGTTGGGATGTAGTGTTGATGTATGGAGATGGTTTTTTTAAATTCGTACTTGTGTGTATGAAAAGTACTAAATTTGGTGCTGTTTCCATTTAACTGAGCTGATTTAGAGATGGATTCCTTAAAATAAAAGTTAGGATAACTATTGGAGTACAGGATTGATGAAGCTTTAAAAATTCGTACTTATGTGTACGAAAAGTTCTAAATGGTACAAAATTGAATATAGGTGAACATATAAAGCTGGAATCTTGAAATTGAGAATTAAAATGACTGTTGGAGTGTAGGATTGAGGTAGTATGGAAAATTCGTACTTATGGTAGTATGGAAAATTTAGTACATTTTGAACGGGTGAAATATGAATTAAAATTACTGTGAAAATACAGCTTTGATATTTATATATGTGTACGAATTGTACTATACGGTACTAAATTTGGTGCAATTTGAATTTGAGTGAACGGAAATGGTGATATGTGGTACAACTTGATTATGTGTGAACGGATAGAGCTGGACTCCTGAATTTTGGAATAAAAATTACTGTTAAAGCGTAGGATTTAGGAAGTTTTGTTAATTTGTACTTATGGGTACGAAAAGTACTAAATTAGGTACAATTTAGGTTCCAGGTGAACAGATAGAGCTGGAATCTTGAAATTGGGAATTAAAATGACTGTTGGAGTTTAAAAGATTTCCGAAATCTATGTTCGATATAGGGGGTGAATATCGGAATTATAGTACATCATTATATTATACATTATTCACGATTTCCATATAAAATATTATTTGTTATGTATTCCCTTCTGCATACGAAGTAGCATACATGTAGATTTTGAAAATTCTGTACTTTTATGAAATTCGTCCAACTCTTTAATGTGACATATTTGAGGTGAGTTATGGTCCCAGAAAGTAGAATCTAAAGATCTTTGAAACGCGACAGAATTACAAAGGGTGGTAGGCCTTTGGTCGGGCTTTTAGGACCTCCTCCTATGGATGTCAAGTCCGGCTACGTAGCAGAATCTCCTCGGTATACGCATTGTGTCCCAATATATTTAGTCTCTAATCAATGTGGTTAACTTTTAAAATGATAATGAAGGCCCTCATATTAGGAAATATGGACTTCGATAAGGAACCCAGATATTCAGCCTTATTCTGGATGTCAATTCCATGTGAATTTACTCGCTCTTTCCCTTCGCCTTATTCTGAACAACATTTTCCTGTGATTTTTTTCGCATTCTCGCTTTCGCCTTATTCTGAATGAAGTTCGAAAGCGAAAAAATCCGCTTTGGGGAAAAATTAGGTATTCTGAATTACAGGGAGTAGGAAATTTTGTGCGAAATTTTTCGCTAATAAATTTAAAGGGAGTTGACTACAAAAACATAAGTAATAACTATTTTTATGAAAAATATTTACACAATACTTATTCTATGACGATTTAGAATATTATAAATGATAGTAAGCAAATTTTTAACTGGAAAACAACCAATAAAATGCCATTGGAGGAAATCCTATTGATAACGATGCATGCTGAACCAAGAATTGCCAAGAAATGTATGAAGGTAATAAGGAATATTTAGAGTTTGATTTTTGGAGGCGAAATACAGACATTTTGGGTGAGGATCTGTCTCTCAAGAAAAAAATTTTAAAAATTATGGAAAACCCAAATTTGCCTGATGAGCCGCTTAACAGTGAAAAACTTAAATAAAAATTATGAAAGAACAAAAAAAATTTTCAAAAACAAATCATAACATAACAGACCACTTTAAGAATTTGGGGAGATAAAATATCGGAATTAAATAAAAAGGCACACAATTATGTAGTGAAATAATAAACTGTGAATTAATTAATTAAATCGTTGTTTTTGCCATCATAAAAAATGGTCTTTTATTTGTAATCTATTGTAGTTGTTGCACCAAATTGCATCAAAACAATGAACAGCTGTTTGACATGCCATATTGTAGGTTGCCATATTTTCAAACTTTAATTTATTTTCTTTTAATTACAAAGCATTTATACAGCGGATTCTTGATATTTCACATTTGTATTGCTATATAGTTTAAATATTAAATATTTTTTTCTAAGTATGAAAAACTGCGACTGCTTATTTAAATCTCAGCTACCAAATGAATTCTATTGGAGTTTCCACAACCCGCAACCCTTGCACGCACCCTTTAGCATTCAGGTTATCTTCCGGGAGCATATATGTATCAATTGCAGTTTTGGTCCTCTGAACTGAACTAAATAATATAATGGTTAGGGATATTGGATCATTTTTTAATTTCTATTTATGAAAATCTTGATTAGATCACTTACACCAAATGGGACAGCAATTTCGTGGATTATTGCAATTTATGTGAGGACGAGGAGGAAATGTCCAGCGCTAGGCATCGCAAAAGACATTGAATGTTTGGTAGATATGAGATTGGTACTATAACCTTCTTCTACGGAATATAACCAACAAAAATACGTAGCTTTGCCATATATCTGGATTGGTTAAGCTAAAACATCAAACATTTCCATTTCCTCTCTTCTTCTTTTCAAGTACTCATGATGAGCACAACGTCGTTTAACCTAACCTCGAAATTTACCGCTTCATTAAAGCCTTAAATTGGCATGCTAAAGCATATCCAAGACTACCATTTACCACTGTCGCAATTTTTTCAACTCAATTGTCTTTATGATTAAGGAATTTTTTTCAAATTATAAATGACGAATCACCCTAAATTTTGTGGTTTATGAAGCAGCTAAATATATATAGTATAAATAAAAATGCCGAGTTTTTTAATTATTTTTCTTTTTTATTTAATATACAAACGTTCTTTTTTTTGTTGTTTTCTTTAATTACAATTTTTAGGTATATTTTTTCCGTTTTTAGGTAATATTATTATTAAATTATTTATTAAAATCTGGTTGTATGGTGTATTTGTTTTTTATAATTCTAGCATACTTTTTAAGATGTATTTTTTTGTTTTGTTTGTTGAATTTTTTAATGCTAAATTTTTTTGTTTTATTTTTTAGTTTAATATTATTATTGTTATTTGATATATTTATAACTTTGTTTTAATATGTAAAACTTTCACTTTTGTTTTTTATTATAAATAAAAAAAAATGCTTAAACAATAAAAACAATCTATAGCAAAAAAATATATATAGTTATATATATATAAAATACACAAAAAAATATGTAAACAAAATATTTGTTGTAAAAATAAAACAAAATTTCTAATTATAAAAAAAATGTGTAATTAATTAATTTAATTGGTACTGATTTACGAGTATACATTAGTATTGGTATATGAGACAGAGAGAGTTAGAAAGTGAGAGAGGGAAAATTATTTAATAATGCGCATGCAATATGGAAGAGGTGGGTGGGTTTTTATTTTTTTATTTATTTGGGAGATTTACTGTTTAGTTGTCTATTTATTTATTTTCTATTTTAGACAAATTAGATATATATTCTTTTATATAAAAATAATAAAGACTTGTACTAATTAAAAAAAAAATATGTTTGAGTTTCAAATTACTCTGCTTATATTTAAATGTTATTATAATTATTAATTTTATTTAATTTAAAGAAAAAATAATTGTTCTTTTTAAAAGAGAGAGGAGAAAAAAGTGGGGAAGAGTATGTTAGAAAAAATAAAATAGAGTATAGCAATTGTTAGATTTTCAAAGGTAGATTGTTTAGGAGTCGCATTACAAATAAGGAGATTTTTTATTTTTGAAAGAAATGAAAAATTTCAATTCAAATCAATAATCTAAATATATAAATATACAATATTTTTTTGTTTATTTTGTTTTATTCTTTTGTATATTATATTACAACAATATCTAATAACTAATAATTATTGCTTATTATTATGTTTGTTTTTATGTATATTTTTTATAATATAAAATTATGTTATATATATATATATATATATGTTTTGTTTTACTTGAAGTATATGGTTTACACTGTGTATTTAAAAATAATAATAAAATATTTATATAAATATATTAAAACAAAACTAACTGGCTTCTTTCAATAATGATTAATTTTATATATAATAGGTTTAGATTATTGTTTTTTTCTCCCATTTTTATGAAAAAATAATAAAGCCTTCGAAAAATTCTAGTAAAAAAATTTGTTCATTTTGTTTGTTGTTTTTTTTTATATAAACGTTTTCTTTTTTCTTGAGATAGTTATAAAATGAAAACAATATAAAATAAATTAAACATAAATTCTTGTGATCGAGTCATGATGATAATAATTATTTGCATTATGTTTTGTATACTACACAGTTAAATATAAATCATTTAACAAATTAAAAAAAAATTAAAACAAAATGTGTTACAAACATTTTAAAATATATATTTATACTTTTAATGTGATCTAGCCGCTTATGGGTTTTATTGAATTTTAAGTCAATGTGCAATTTGTACAAAGTTTAATAAATACCCATTATAAAGTGAGGTTAGGGTAAAATTTGATGTTTTCTGAAAGGTTGTTTTTCTATTAAAAAACAATTAAAATGAGTACCATTTGGCATTTTTAGATATATCAAAATATTCTCCATGAAGATAAAAATATTTGATCCATAATGGAGAACGTTTTGTATATATGTATATATATATATATATCCTGTGACAGATTTTCAATAGAAGACTATTTAAAGGTCTTCGTTCTATCAAAGATATTTAAAGGGTCTTCTATTCAATAACAGTATGAAGTATAAGGGAAATGTGAGTCACCTCGACCAAGCTCGTAGTCGAATAGGAGGTTTTTCGGGGTGATTCGCAGTTAACGAAATTCTGTGTACAAAAAAGGTCTCATATTCATCCTGCAACAAATTTTTATAGAATTGAAGCGAAAATAGAATATATATTCGAGTCGAATAACTGTGATATTTCTTCAAATTTTTAATAGATTTGTATGAAATCCAGAAATATATGTATGGGAGAAAACTGGTCTTAATTCAGTATGCTGTGCAAAATTTTGTCTCAATCGGGCAAGCCGTGGGGGTTCTTTAGTACACTATTCACCTAAAATCTAAAAATAAACAATATTATATATGGTGTAGAGAAGCAAAAAACTGTTTTGATAAAACTATAAACATGTCATGTGAAATGAAAAAAGTATGATATATTGCATATGACGAATAATAGACTATAATTTTTTTAACAAATTTAGTTATTTCACAATTAAAACTTCTCGACATTTTTGCAAACTGTAGACCTTTTTGTTTTTTGTTAATTCAGTACGCTGTGCAAAATTTTGTCCAATCGAAGCAAACCGTGAGCGTTTGGTTAACTATCGGACTAAAATGTATATGGGAGCTACACGTAAATCTAAAACGATTTAATCAAACTGGACTTAATTCAGTATGCTTTGCAAATTTTGTCTCAATCGGACAAATATTGAGAGTTTGGTGTATCATTTACCTAAAATCGGACGAAAATGTATATGGGAGCTATTGTAAATCTGAACCGATTTCAACTAAACTTCATTCAGGACGCTGTACAAAATTTTGTATCAATCGGGAGAATCTTGAGTCTTTGGTGCACCATTTAAATAAGATCGGGCGAAACTATATGTAAATCTGAACCGATTTTCTCCAATTTCAATAGGCTTCATACTTGGGCCAAATAAGTGACTTTTACCAAATTTCATCCAAATCGGATCATAAATAGGACGTGTACTTTCTTACAATTTAACATCAACATACGGAGGGACACACATACATCGACTCAGAAAGTGATTCTATATTCTTAAAAGGAACCATGGTTCTATCTCGTGAAGGGTAAAAATAGTAGCAACCTACTTACCACGATTTCATTCAACATTATTTCAATTGGATAATTTTATTTTTATAATTTTACCAATAACCTTACTTTATGACAAATTTATATTTTTAAACATTTGAAAACTGCATTTTGAAATGTATTCAATACTGTGGAGCTATATTTTCGACCGGATCACTTTGAAAGTATTACCACTTGCTGCTGTTTGTGTGTAGTAGTAGGTAGCACAACGTAAAAAAACCTGTCTTAATTTCTAAAACTGTTTTGTTTTTTTTTTTTTTCTTAGATATCTAAAACCTTATTTGGTACACTATGAGCAGATTACGATAATTAGAAATATGTCTTTAATAGAACGAACATATGCAATGTTGCATGTATTTATTATAGTCCCCTTCTTCTCCACATTGAAAACAAGAAGAGTATTGAATTCTCTATTAAAGAGACATTTCACTTTAAATAGTGGCCACCATAGTGTTTGTTTTTTTTCTTTTTATTTAGAAATCTATAGTTAGCAGAAATGTAATTTATAGCGAATTGTTTTTTTTTTTCGGTTCTCTGTTTCTTATTGTTTCATTTGTTTTTCCTTTCACATGATTTTTTTACTACATACAAAATGTATTTTATTTTGAATTGTATTTTTTTCAGTTATGTTTTTTAGTTTTTTTCTTTATATCTAAACTTGTTGTATTCCTTGGAATATCTACACCTAAAGATTGCAAACCTTATTCACCAATTTTATATATAACAACAACCAAACAAAATGTAAAAAAATACGGAAGCTTTTTCCTTGGGGGCGGCGGCGGGGGCCTTGGCTTCAAAAAACCTTTTTTCAATAAGGCAAGATGCAGTCGTTTTGGGTTGAATAAAAAAAAAACTAAAAATGGTAACTTCCATTTAAAGCTTCCGTTTCTTTTGGTTCTAAACAAGCATAGAAGAAAAACAATCAAATATGGTTTCTCTTCTTGGTTTGAGATTAATGTTTGTTGTGTTGTTAATACTAACCTAATTTTCTTTTGTTAAATAATAATCATAAAAATATAAACAAAACAACTTAGAAATAGAATTAACTTACAAATTAAATGTTAAACATCGCCTCTCTTAGTTTTTGTATTTGCTGGGATTTGATGATGATGCTGCTGCAGATGCTGCTCCTGTATTTGATGAATTCGCGCTTGTTACAGATGACGTGGCGGATGGCTGTGATGTTGTCATTGCGGGTGGAGGTGGCGGCCACCAATGCAGCAAATCACTTTGTGAATGTGCCGCAGCAGCTGCTGCATGACCGGGATGATGATGTGTTGCTGCTACTGCCGTTTTAGCCGCACGCTGATGATGTTGATGGTACTGTTGCTGCATGTGATGGTGATGTGGATGGTGGTGATATGGATACTGGGGCGGTGTTTGTGCATGCTGATAATGATGGTGGTGGTGGTGGTGTGCTGCTGCTGCCGCTGCAAGTCCCTGGTGATAGACTTGAGCTGCTGTTCTTGACGTGCTCGTGTTACTACTACTGCTAGTACTGTTTGTATTGACGCATCCGCCGCCGCCAGCCCCACCGCTAGGCATGACCTATTTTAAATGTCAGTCATTTTTCACTGAATAGTACAATAAATCGGGCTGCTGTACATGTTGCTGCTGCATGTGGTGCATGTAATCGCTAATGGGTGGCAACACTGCCTTGCCATCATCACCACCGCCCAACATTGAATAGCCACCACGATCATAGACATGAGGATGACCGGCATGTGGCGGTGGTGGTGGCAACAGGTGAGATGCCGCAGCTAGAGGATGATGGGCGGTCGGTGCCAATGGATGGCCACCCAAGGCATGGGCGTGCGTTTGCAACGCATGCGGATGATATGGTTGAAAGCTATTCTTTTGCTGTTCGCCCATTTCCGCTAAACTGGAGGCGTGATGGGCAGCCGCCGCATGATGATGGGGATCATACAGTGAGCCGGGCGCTCCATATACACCAGCATGACGTATCAAGCCACTGGCACCGGCGGTAGGTTGCAGGCCGTAGGTCGATGCAGCACTGGCCGTTTGATGTTGCTGCTGCTGTTGTTGTTGATGGTGTACAGCTAAAGCACTCTGTTGCTGTTGTTGACTTTGGGCAGCGGCCGCCGCTGCTGCCGATGTTGCTGTTGCACCACTGCCTGCAACTGGCACCGATCCTTGCTGCATCAGTTCGAAATTATATTCCATGGGATTGGGATTGTTGTCAATGAGATTCGTTAAAATACTGCCAATATTATTGTAGCTATGGGGATCGGTTGCCCCGGCACCACCCCCAACATTGGCAACACCACCGGCTGCGCCAGCTTGTTGATTAGTGGCACTTTGCTGTTGTGCCTGTTGGACCTGAGGCTGGGTTTGTTGCTGTTGAACTTGCTGTTGCTGGGCGGTTGTTTGCTGTTGTTGGCCACCACCATTGGCACTGTAGGCCATTTGATTGGGTGTTTGATTAGCCTGGGGCCACATATTCTAGAAAAAAAAAAAAACAATTGAAATGAAATCAATACGAATACAAAGAAAATTATTATTAAAATTTAGAGTCAACTCTGGATAATAAAAATAAACTCAATTACTCGAGGTTTACACATCCAAAAAAAGAGATAAGGGGGAAGAAATTCAAAAGAGAATCGAAGAGAGCAGCAGCATTGTTGCTTTAAAAAAGTTGCATGTGTAAGCCCAGAATATTTGATATTTATTTCCAGGTCCCTTGAAACACATTTGTTATATTTCTCTGACCTCTTGAGTGTTCGAACCGATCTGAACCGATTTTCATGAAACTTTGCAAACATCATTCTGGACCTAATTCTGTACCCTATGCCAAAATTCGTGCAAATCGGACGAAAATATATATGGGAGCGATATCTTAACCTGAACCGATTTTCTTGAATTTCAATAGGGTTCGCCCTTGGGCCAAATAAGTGACTTGTGCCAAATTTCATCCAAATCGGATCATAAATGCGACCTGTACTTTGTTTACAATTTAACATCTACACACGGACGGACTGACGGACATGCATAAATCGACTAAGAAAGTGATTCTATGCATATTATCAAAAGGAATCATGTGTCCATCTCGTTTCCTTTTGCCTGTCACAAACATATTCACAAAGACATAATACCCTGTACCGCAGTGTGGTGAAGGCTATAATCAGGGAATTAGCGGTAAATATAAATATGAATAAATTTTAACTACCCCGACATTAATCAGTTCACATTATCGAGAGTTCACTGTATTGGATGATCACACTATCGAGAGTTCTCTGTATATATATTTTTTTCTGGCAGGGTTATCTACAAATTCCTAGAGTTCCATTAAATCAAATCCTAATAGAAACTTACCTGAAAACTCATCAAATCCTGTTCCTGTTGCTGCTGTTGAGGCGTTTTATTGGCCACCATTGGTGATTGTGGCTGTTGTTGCTGCTGCTGTTGAGTACTGCTTAATTGATTTGTTTCTGTACCCGGTGTACTGCTGCCAGAAACGTTAATTGGAAGACCCATGAATTCGGAAGAATCAACGATATAGTATTTATTAGGATTATCTTTATCGGATGCCGATAAATTGCTAGCATTATTTTGTTGCTGCTGCTGTTGTTGAGGATGAGTGTTGGCCGCACCTGCTCCATGTGCCACAAAATTAATATTACCCCAGGCATCTGTGGTGTACTGCTGCTGCTGCTGTTGATGATTGACAGCTACACCTGGCTGCTGCTGTGGTGTGGCTTGTGGTTGTGGCGTATGTGCCTGAGGTGATTGCAGTCGTGCATGTTGTGGCGAATGCATTGGTTGTTGATGTTGTTGCTGCAGCTGTTGTGTCGGTGTCTGGTGGGGGTGAGGTGATCTTTGTTGATTGTGTCTCTGCTGGTGAGCGGTGGCTTGTTGATGCTGTTGCTGCAATTGTTGTTGCATCATGTGTTGATGGTGATGCATTTGTTGTTGGTGCTGCTGCTGGGCAGCACTCTGCAAATGTTGCTGATGTGGCGACGAAAAGTGCGGATGTTGTTGTGGTACATGACTATGTGGATGAGGACTCTGTGGCGTATGACTGCGCATATGCGCTTGCTGCTGCTGTTGCTGTGGCGTTGGGGGCTGTTGAGTTGTTTGCATTTGTTGTTGTTGGTGATGTTGCTGCTGGTATTGATTAATGATTTGATGTTGGGGATAAGCACCTGGATTTGTGGTAATGGTTGATGTTGGGCCGCCAGCGGCACTTTGATCGAAATGAAATTGTGTCTCCGGTTGTGTTGGCCCACCGCCACCGAAACTATTTATACGGGGCAAGTTATTGTCCGGCGTGTGACTATTATTGGGTGTGTGACGATGGTGTTGCTGCTGTTGCTGTTGATGCGGAGGTGGTGTTGGTCTTTGTTGTTGTTGCGGATGTGGATGCTGCTGACTGTGTGGTGTTAACATGGGCTGTTGTGGCGCTAGTGCCGTTTGTGGTCCCTGTGATGTTGGATGGGGTTGCTGCTGCTGCTGGTGGCCCAGCAATTTTTCAGCACTAAAGTTTTGACTGTACATGGAATTCGGTTGAGATTCGCTAGACTGCAATGAATGCTGTGATGTCGATGCAGTTGACGATTGTGAACTATTGTTACTTATAATGGCAGCATTGAAGGGATCTTGTTGTGAGGACGATGATGTACCGGGTGTGGTTGATAGTGGTGGTGGTGTTGCAACAGCACCCATTTTCTGTTGTTGTTGCTGCTGCTGTTGAACCGTTTGTTGTTGTTGCTGCTGTTGTTTTGGTTTACTAGCATTCGATTTCTTGGCAACTTTAGCCGGTGGCGGACCGGGAACATCAGACATTGGAACTAATTCTAAAGGATGATAATAAGAAAAATGTTAGAAGAGAATTGAAGCTATTTATGATAATTTATTTGAGGTTAGATTGAGAACAAGCTGTTTGGAGCTTAATTGTACATTTTTATTTTATATATTTGTACTACTAAATAAACTAATCTATTAAACAAAATCCTACTTACCATCACCTTCCTTTGCGAACCGTTTAACCTTCTTGGGGGACGGCTGGTTTCCATGTACGGTTTGTTTGTGGCGTACAAGATGCGTTTTCCATTTAAATGTCTAGAAGAAGAAGAAAGAAACATAAACATATTTATGACAAGAGAAATAAAACAATGGTCAATGGACCCCCATTTACTACTTTTTATAAAATAAATGGTAAAATGCGAAGAGAATTTTTCTTAATTATTAGTAAAATCGTTATAACACCTGACCAATCCCTAGACCCCGTTTTCGATCATTAATTCATTCAATCAAATATTATTCTCAAATGCCATTTAGATGTATATGCCAAATGGAACCAGGAAGCAGGTGAATTCAAAAGCGTATCTGTTAATCAATGTTGGAATTCAGGAAATGACGGCGATCTGGGAAATAATATAGCTGTCAAGGTGACTGATAGAAGATTGATATGACATATTGGAACTAAAAGTCTCAGTACTTTCACAGACATGTTCGAGGACTGCATAGTTAATTTAGGACGTATTTCCCCGCTGTACTGGGGCATAGATTCAAATCCCTGATGAATAGGTTCTAACCCTTGAGATAGAAATACAAATACCCTTATAACTAGGTTAGGTTAGATACAAGGATGAGCAGTCACTAATGTGGCTGCAGCACTCTGACCTGAACCGTCAGGTCCATTGTGATCATCCACGAAAAGAAAAGATGTAAGGAGAGATCTATGAGAGGAAAAAAAGAAGGGGGCATAGAAAGAGATGAGAAGCTTACAAGCAAGTGAGAGAAGGTATGTTCCGTTGTTGAAAAGAAACTAAGACTCGATGGAAAGTGAGCACCCACTAGTCTGTGCCGTCTGTAGGCCAAGACCGGACAGCGACACAACGCAGAGTCTACAGTAATCAGTAGCATCATAGTCCTATTTACGGGTAAAGGCCCTGATACTGCAATGACCAGTAATGATTCCTGTCATTACTCTTATTTCAGCTTCAACACTGAGTATGTCCTTTTGGTAGATAGAGTCGGCCAAATAGATCTTGACACATTGTACCTAGGTTCAGGTTGTGCCAAAGTTCAGTTCCGATAAAGATTGAGCCATCTAGATTGCTAGATCTGTAGATTGAGATCTTCGTCTTGCTATTTCGTCTGCTCTTTCATTACCCATGATGTCACGGTGTCCTGGTACCCAACACAGCCGATAGCTGTAAGTAAGTTCTTCCAAAGTTGTTCTACACTTGAGGACTGCCTCAGATTTGATGTAACAGGATTTGATGGCTTTAAGAGCCGCTTGACTATCCATAAAGATAGCCACCGGGTCTACGGTCTCTGCATACAGAATTTTTATCAAAACACTACAGTTGCTATCCAGCTTGTAAGTAAGATCAAGACCTAGCCTTTTACAGCAGACACCAGCCCCTGAAAGCCAGTCCGTCCAGAGGAGGGTTACTCCGATTCCAGTCATCTGTACTAGGAATAACGACATTTACATCACCAAATCTCAGGACTGGTGATATACAGTCGCTTAGTTTTACGCGTTGGTCCAATGTCATATCTAGAGCGTTCAAGGTACAACCATGGGTGCTCCTCGCGGCTCCTATTATTACAATCGAGGCGACTCTTTGTACCTTATCTAGTTTGCTGGATATCGATTTGTGGCTCAGGCAGTTCCACCAAACAATAGAACTAGTGTATAGTCGATGGTTTCAGCCCCCAACTTTTCCCAATGGAATTCTTGCATGCATAGAGTGCAATCAGCCCTCTCTTCGCCCGTTCCTCAGCGTTTTTGTTCCATCGTAATTGACAGTCAAGGATTGGTGGAGCAAAATCGCCGAGCTTACGCTTCTTAGTGAACATTACCAGTTCCGTCTTTGTTGGGTTTACACCAACGCCGTTCGCCTTGGCCCAGCGTGTCGGCATCAGTAAGGCTCTTTAAATAAGCACCGAGATTGTTGAGGGAAATTTTCCGTAATTCAACATCACCACGTTGTCCGCATAAGCTACGACTTTGATACCTTTTCCGTCCAGTTCCATCAGTCGGTTGCTAATTACCAATTGCCATAGCAACGTTGAGAGCACCCCTGAGAGGTGCCTCTAGTTACCTGATTTTTGTATCCCCCACATTTAAATTTACAATTCTGTCGTTTATCGTTTTATCTATCTAATAAGTTAGGGTTTCAGCAGTGCCCTTATAACTAACTAATCTTTCGAACTACATCAGAAATTTAGGGTTAGTACCGATAGCTTAATTTCTAAACATATTCTCCTTTCAATTACAACAATACATTGATCTACAAACATTCTTTTGCACTAGAGCTCATATTTGAACGATTTGCTACTTTGTAATACATACCTGTTCACAATAACAGCAACTGTGTGGCCTCTCTTCCGAATGTGATGGTAAATGACGTTGTAATGATTTAACTGAACCAAAACGTTTGCCACACAATGGACATTTGCATTCGGAGGAATCGGTATGGGCATTGCTGTAATGATCTTTTAAAGCTGGATATGTAAAATATGAAGAGTTGCAAATATCACAGACCTAGAAGAGAGAAAAAACAACATTAAATATATAATAAAAACAAAACACACATCTTTCCCAATTGTACTTACATATGTCCTTTTAATCTCCGTATGTAACTGGACATGACGTTCTAAATTGGCTTTTAGCGTAAAACGATTCTGACATATGTGACACTCGAATAAATTATCCTTTTTATGTACTCTAACGATATGTTGATACAAAGCATTCTTTGAGGGGAATTCATCGCCGCATACCTCGCATATAGCACCGTCAGCCTTGTGGCCGGTATCATCTAAATGTTGTTGATGTAGTTTTTTGTGAGAGAACTTTTGACCGCATTCAATACATGAGTAAGCTAAATAGAAATTAATGATTAAATTAAATAACAATAACTTAGGGATATACTTTGAAATTGGTTTTAAAAATAATTTTGCTACTTAGGCATTGATTGTTTTATGGACAAAACTAAAAAAGGAGACAGACAACAACAACAAGCAAGCTTTTTTAGTTAAATGCAATGAAATTTACTCTCAATACTATGTTAGTCATCGATTGTTATGATTCTTGACACAAACTCACTTTTGAATTCCTTCTTATTGTGAGATTCAACATGGGCATGGAATTGTTGACGCCTTGAATAAGATTCGCCACAAGTCTCACAGACAAATGGGAAGTCCTTGGCATGTACCGTGCGATTGTGATGTATGATTTCCTGTAAAGAGATCGATAGAAATATTAAAATTTGAATGTTATCAGAATGTCTGAATATCTTCTCTTACCTCCAACGATGTACCATTGGCCTTGCCACAATCATGACAATATCCTGGATGTATTTTATAGTGATCCAATAGGGATTTACGTTTACGATATGACTTGGGACACAGTAAACAATTGTATATGGGTTTCTCTTTCTTTGAGCCACCGGAAGCATTTGCCCCACCGGGCGGTGCCTGCAATGAGGTACTACTACTGCTGCCACCATCAATTAGCTGTTGTTTTGGTTCCATACCATCATTGGTATCGTTTTCATGATCCTCATCATCTTCGTCGTGTGACATATCGGGATCATCATGATCAAAGGAGGCGTTGGCCGATGAATTATTGCCCGTGGGTGTGTGGGGATTTTGTAGTAGGCCACCACCACTACTTTGTGAATTGTTGGATGCCATAGAGCCACCGGCACCGGAACCCGACAAAAAGGAGGTGTGATCTTGTTGTTGCTGCTGTTGCATCATCATATGTGGTGGCATATTTTGCATGTGAGGTGGCATCTGTTGTGGTTGCTGCTGCTGCATGTATTGCAAATTGTCTGGTGTTGTGGGTGGCTTGGAAACACCAGCTCCTTGTCCCCCACCACCACCACCTACACCCAATATATTGTCAATGCTATTGATGGCATTATTGGTTGCATTGATTTGCATCCGCTGTTGTTGCATTTGTTGATGCTGTTGATTGGCCGATTCCATCATACCACCCATCATGGCCAATGGATGATTTTGGGGTGGCATATGCTGGGAATTATAAGGTGGACCGCCGACACCACCCTGTTGCTGCTGCATTTGTTGTTGTTGCTGCTGCTGCATGAGATAACGCTGTTGTGGCGTTTGTTGTGGATGGCCTCCTTGGAAATGTGGCTGTTGTTGTTGTTGACCCAAAGTATTATTCATAAGATTGGCAATATTGTGTTGTTGCTGCTGCTGTTGTTGTTGATGTGGCGGCTGTTGTTGTTGTTGTTGTGCTTTTCCCCCAGGCATTTGTGCCATATTTGGAGCACCCACTTTCATGCCATCTTCCGACATTTGTTGATTATGCATCATGTGCTGTTGCGATTGTTGTTGTTGATGATACATCTGTTGTTGTTGCTGCTGCTGTTGTTGATCCTTAGGCATCATATTATGATTGCCTGGTCCCATGACCATTCCACCACCATGTGGTGTCTGTTGCTGCTGCTGTTGTTGATTTAAATTATTGGGCATAAGGTTATTAGGGTGACCCGAACTCGGCGATGGGGTTGTGAGGCCATTCATAATAAGATTACTATTGTTGGAGTTGTTTTGCTGCTGCTGCTGTGATAAATGATTTTTGAAATTTGTTGCACCAATATCATTGACAACACCACCCATGCCCATACCACCGCCACTACCAACTCCCCCTCCTCCACCACCACCTATAAACGGTGAAGTTAAGGTGGAAGCACTGTCCGTTGTTACCATATCATTCGGCAAGGTATCCATGCCATTACCACTGTTGCTACTACCACCACTTACACTGACACTTGCTCCACTGCCACTACGTTCAATGACATCCTCAATTTCCGGTTCCATGACCAGACCATCTATTAATCGGCCAGGGCCCATGCCCTCATCAATGATCTCTTCAAATTTCATAATCTCCTGCGATGCTGATGACAATTGAGATTCAGATTCTAGCTCGAAATCCATTTCGGAATCGTAAGCGTTACCGGCACTGCTGGACGCCGCCGCTAGAACACGTCTCCTCTGTTGCATAAGCAACATTTGTTGCTGTTGTTGTTGCTGCTGCAGCAGCTGCTGCTGTTGTTGTTGTTGCTGTTTTCGTATTTTCTGTTGACGCCACTCTTCCTCGTGCTCTAGACGCAACGACTCGAGTACATGTTTTGGTGGTGTAGTACCCAGTAAGCGGCCCGTAAATACAAACTCTTGTTGAAATTTTCGCAGGAATTCTTTGTTACGTTCTTTCAAGGCGATCTTTAGATGTACACGAAACTGTTCTTGGAACACACGTATACTCAATTCCTCGGATTTCCAGTGGAAATGAATTGTAAACTCATTATCCGGATGGAAGACATAACCTTCGCCCAAATGCGAAACGCGTTGGTGTACCTTTTCGAACAGCAAACGTGACTGGTGACTGAGTTTGCCCAAATTATTTTTACCATAGGCAAATCCTGCACGTCGTCGAGCTCTCTTTAGGCTATCTGTGGTGGCAAGGGCATCTAAACTATTGCTTTCATCACCATCCGCAGTTGTTGTGTTGGTGGCGGCTATACGGCCAAGACGTCGGGCGTGTATTACGGATGAGGGTATTAAATCCAATGGATCCCGGCTATTTGCTTTTGAGTTAACTAGGCCGCCCGTCGATGAAGAACCCAAGCCTGCTGCTGCTACTGCTGTTGCTGGATAACGTCGTATTCTTTTATTGTGGAAATTTGAATTTTCATTATCCGCATCATCGGCATAATCACCATCGTCTTCATCCAGGCACATAAATTCCTCCTTACATAGGATCTTTTCGAAATTCTGATTTAAATCTGTCGATGAAGCATTTTCGTCTTCATTTTTGATATCCTCCTTTTTGGTGGCTAGCAGCAATTGTAATTGTTTTTTGGACACTCCTTTTGTGGTGCTGGCGTAATCCCGATCCAATAGATAGGCAAACACGCTGGGCACAACTTTTTCACAGGTTTCGGAATATTTAAATTTTAGATTTTGCAGCAGATAGTGTAGAGCATCACAGCGGGATACAGGATCGAAACCATTTAATGAATTAAGTGTTTTATCCACCTAAAAAAAGAGATCAAGAAGAAGAAGAATAATTAGAAGAGGGAAAGAGAGTAAGATAAGGAAATATTTTTTTCCATAGTTAAATATTCAACAACAAACAAACAAGTAAATAGAGAAAGTTGTAATAGAAAAAACAACACACACAGTAGCAGTGTTGCCAATGTATATGAATAGAAAGAAAAACGCGATTTATTGAGAAATGATGACAGGAAAAACGTCAAAATGCTAGAGATCTTTATGTTAGGTTTATACTTGCTAAATTGATCTTGTTTAAGTATTGTATTTTAATTTTAAGAGTGGCATAAATTTGAAATGATCAATTTTAACTTTTATTGACGATATATGTATGTACAAAAACTAATTAATGCCATAATTATGAGAATATATTAAAAAAAGATATTTATGAAAGATCTGAATTAATTCAGGAAAATGGTTTAAAAATAGCATCTGTTAAATGTTTTCAGTTTCACTAGTTTTATTATTGTAAAAGTGAAAATGCTGACCCCATTTTGTTGAACGGGGTATAAAATTCTAAGCAGATTTAGACATGTCCGTGTGTCAGCCCATCCGTTCGTTAGAATTTTGAACGCAGACGCGCATTCTCCAACCAAAGATACTGTAATTTAACATATTGGGTTCTTGGAGGTTGAAAAACCTCTATGCAGAACATTTCCAATGTAGGTTAAAGTTTTGACTAGACACGCATATTCATGGTTTTAGACCAACCTAAGTTCTTGGTCGGGACAAATATTTATTCAGAAAAATTCATGTAATTTTGCTTTCCAGATTTATGGTGAAAAATTTTACTTCTTATAAGAAAATGTTCGCTTTCGTTATATTTTCGGTATGATCAAGTTTATAACCTAGTTTTCGAACCTATAACGGCATTTACATTAGAACTTTTTACCGGGTTAACCTCTATGCGGATTTATTTGACAGATATACAATGAATTTGACAATTGAAACCCACCGGGTAAACGAAATCTCATACAATGTAAACGTACTATTTATATTTTATTTTTTAAATATTTTATTTTTAAACATATTATTTTTTTAGAGTTTATTTTATTAATTTTATATTGCTATTATTATTTACTATTTTTTAATATTTTATTATTATGTATATTATAATTATTATTATTTATTTTTAATATTTATTTAATTTAGTTGTTGTTGTAGCAGCTAATACTGCTGTGTATTTCCAATTTTCTTAATCTGGTTCTGCCTCTAACTCCAAATTCAGAAAGGCTGCGACCTGTACAGGTTGAGTCCATAGAGAAGATGGGGTTAGGAGAGTGGGCTTGGCTGGGCAGTTGAACAGGTGTAGCGTGTCATGTGGTCCATTACCACATGCCGGGCAGACATTGTCGACCTCTCCATCAATCCGTGCCCAATACGAATTGAGGCGGCTACACCATCCAGATCTCAGTTGTGCCAAGACCACTCTAGTTTGTCGAGGTAGCTGCTGCTCTTCTGCGGCTATCACAGGCGGATGGTCTCCGAGGAGGGTATTTACACGATATTCTTGAACTGCTTCCTTAACTGCGTCCGTGTGAATACTGTTCAATCCTGCTTGATAGGCCTGATGATTTAGAGGCTCCCTTTTGTACCTCTGGACCTCTCTCTCCAGATCATGGAGATCCTTCCTGACATGCCTGGGTGGTGGGTGCCTATCCATTAGGTTGTTGTGTTGACGCACAGGAAGGATCTTCGTCTCCTCATGCAAGTGGTCTATTGGGGTCATGAGGAGACACCCTGTTGCAGTCCTCAGGGCGGCATTTTGGCAGGATTGAAGATTTTTCCACTGCGTTGCACTGACGTTAGCGGACCACACTGGCGCCGCATAGTTTACCACAGACCGGCCTATTGCTTTATAAGTCGTTAACAAGGTTTCCTTGTCAGCTCCCCAAGTGCTGCCGGCTAGCGACTTGAGAACCTTGTTTCTGCTCCTGACTTTATCGCAAATAGCTGTGGCATGCATATAGGCTATCGAATGTGACCCCTAGAACCTTGGGGTAATTAGTGGTCGGAATTGTGGACCCCTCGACGTGCACATTCAAAGATAACCTCATCTCCGCTGTCCATGTGGTAAACAGTGTGGCCGTTGACTTAGTGGCGGATATTTTCATATTCCTCGACCGGAAAATAAATACACGTAAATACAATACTACGTGTATTTAATTTGGTATTACATTTTGCTTCAATTGAAATTAGCACAACTAGCAATTTCATTTATATTTATATTAGTATTTATTTTTTAATATTTTATTATTTATTTAATTTTATAGAGTTTATTTTTCTAATTTTGTATTGCTATTATTTTTTACGATTATTTATTTTTTATATTTTTTATATATCTTTTATATTTTTTTAGTTTAATAATTCATTTTGCTTCAATTTGTATTATTTATTTATGCTATTTAATTTTAAATATTTTTTATTAACATATTTTTTATTATCATTTATTTTTATTATTTCTTTTTTTATTTTTATTATTATTTATTATTATTTTTTTATTATTATTATTATTTTTTTTTTATTATAATTTATTTTATTTTTATTATTATTTATTTTATTTTTATTATTATTTATTTTATTTTTATTATTATTTATTTTATTTTTATTATTATTTATTTTATTTTTATTATCATTCATTCAATTTTTTTAGAGTTGCATTCCATATATAGTTGCATTTAGAAACAAACATCATTTATTAACGTTTTTCCATAAACACCAACATTGACAACACTTAAACACAACACGTCAGTTTTAATTATCTCAGAGCCCTACTTAAAGAAGAAGAGCGCAAGCAAGCAAATACCAATGCGAAGTTTTGTTTCTTCTTTTTCTTTTAATTACTCCCAATGACACAAATATAAATACCAACAACAACAATATGAATAACACAAACACAATAATGATCATGATAATATATGTATGTTAACAACAACAACACCACACCATTAATAATTAGTTACAAACTAAATAATGATGCTTACTCTTCATCAAGAAAGAAAAAAGATAAACTCTCAATGGAAAAATTCGGAGGGGAGAGAAGGAAGCAGAGAGAGAGCGTGAGTTTTCATGTCAAGTAAAACAGTTAGTTGCTTAAAAATAAAATATTTTATATTTTAGAAATTTCTATTTAATTTAAAACAATTTTAAACAATTTTTTAATTTCCAATAAGATGGCCGATCATTAAGGTTTCGTTTCGAAAAAAAATGCGCGCACAAAATACCCTACCCTCAGTTCACACACACACTCACTCACTTTATTATATCCACAGTTTTTTTTGTCGTTTTGTTAAACAAACAACCACCGACCAAATACGGATGTAAGTAATCACTCAATGATAACGGCGGCAATGAAAACTTCCAAATTTAAAAAATAAAAGAAACGAAACAAAATATCAGCCAGGCACCGACGAAATTGATATTATTTTATTTTCTGCTATGAACGAACGAGCGAACCGAACGTGGTACGTCAGAAATGTAGTTTACTATTTTCGTAAAATAACAAAAGAAGAAACGACAAAAAAATAATCAAGCGCGCCGCAGATTTAAAAACTATTTTCAAATACAAAAAATGAACGAAACAACAACAAAAACGCAAAACACAAAAACAACAACTGAAGAGAACACAGAATAAACACAGCTAGCTATAGCAAGCAAGCAACAACACGACGAAGTAAAACTAAAATTTAATGTGTGCCACTTTTCCCCCATATATCAATCTATTAAAACAATTTTCTTGTTGTTGTTGCTGCTGCTGTTGTTAAAGTCAAGCTTAGAAGAGCGAACGCGCAACAACCCAACCAATACCAATGGAAATGAAATGGTGACGACGGCGGACAACGACGTCGGCTGCGAATTATCAACTGCGCTGTTAGCCGAAACTGTAGTTCGTTGTTTTGTAGTTGGCGCGTCGTATGTGTGTGATCGTGTTGTTCTTACTACGAATGCTGCTGCCGCTGTCATTGTATTGACGCCGTTGTTTTGTAGTTCTGTTTAGGTTTGTTGGTTGGAAAAGAAGAAGAAGAATGCATGCATACAGACATAAACACACACAGATGTTTCAGCAGCAGCAGTGTTTGTTGTTTTTGTACTACACATAGTACATGGTACTGTTGCTATTACTTGTGTGTTTGTCATTCGTTCGTTTTTTTTAATACAGGAGAGAAGACGAGTGAACAACACAATACAGCAGCTGGGCTTTATCTAGTTCCGCTTGCCACAATCACTAACACTAAGTAATAAATTATTTTTTTTTGTCGTTTTAATATTATTGCCATTATTCATTGTGTTATTAACTATAGATATGTGGTGGTTCACTCTTTCTCACACTTCTGCTCTTCTCTCTCACAAAACAGTGTAAAAATGTTGGTTATGTTGCTCAAAAAATATTTCAATTCAACCGTAAACACCACCCACCCAGTATATATTTGCATGCAGCAGCAGCTCCAGGCAGGCAATGCATGCATCAGTAAACTTGTGTTAGTCGGCGGCGGATGGTGTAATAAGTTCGGTTCAATTTGGGAATAAATATAAAAACGTGAATAAAATATAAGGTATTATAGTTTGAAGATCTTTCTTCACAGGGTAGATATAACATACCTAGAATCTTATTGAGAAATTTTTGTGAATTGCTTTTAACCCCCAAGACCAAGGAGTAACAAATTTCATCCCCCAACTTCTGTTAGAAAATGGGTCAAAGACCATCAAAATATTGAAAAATCTATGGACCCTATGTCCAAACCAGAGGTGTGCCGAGAGAAAATGGGCGGAGAGTAAATGAGAAACCGTCATATGAAATGACATACTAAAAGAGAACGTAGAGAACGAGCAAATTGATAAATGTAAACAAGGGCACCAGTGATCATGCTGCGGAGAATTGTTTTTCATATCGAGAGTCCGGAATATTGATTTACATTCATTTTAGTTGGAAAATGCACCAAGGATCATGAATATACCTATTATGGAGCTGTACAATACTAAAATGG